ATATTCCCGCCAGTGGCTCTGCAATGATGTCGGCCAGTGCCTTCAGCACCCTCGGATGGAGCTCATCTGGGCCTGCCAACTTAAAGGCATCCAGTTCGTCCAAGAGACTCTGCACCATCTCAGGGTCTACGCATGGTAGTCTGGTGCCTTGCTGCTGCCTCTCTACAACCCCAGTGAGAGACTTGTCGTGCCCCTCTCTTAGGAACACTGAGGCAAAGAACTCGTTGAGGAGTTCAGCCTTGTCTCCTCTGTCTGTCACCAATTGTTTCTGCCCATTTAGCAGGGGTCCTATTCCTCCCTGGGCCTTCCTTTTACTCCCAATATATCTAAAAAACAATTTCTTGTTGAGATGAGGACTGACAGAAAAAAAAAAAGTGCATCAGAAGCACATAAAGTAGTTTGTTAATACATGATTTCTGGTATATCTTGGGGACTTTTTCTGAATAAAGAAAAAATACAGCCCAGTTCATAAGTGAAGAAAAAATCAAATTCCTACCAGTCTTACTCTTTCCTGCAGTATTCTAAGAATACCTGGGCTGTGTTACCATTAAAGTACAGGCTTCTTAAAGTGAACATAAGTCAATAAAAGTAGAAACTCATGCCCTTCAAGGATTCTCTGAAGGATCTCTCTTGTATTTTAGCGGGGGGAAGCAAAAAACAATGGATGAAATTTGGTTTTTTTGACCAAGTGTGTTATCGTTCTGAGCAGAGAACTGAGTGATGATGTGCCAGAATGAGAACTGGAACAGTGCTATCAGGTTACACAAGAAATCACGTGGAAGCTTTAGGAGGTGTGGGCAAGCTGTGCCTGCTTCCTTGATTTTCTTTTTGTGAAAATGAACATGATCTTATTTTGTCTTTAAGATCCCTAACTTGCTTTTACTTGGCTTTTAAGCATCTAAATGTGATCTTATTCCACCCCACGTAGCAGTCACAGAACTGCTAAATTGCCTAGATTTCTTATATGTTTCCATCTACAGGATAAGCATGTAAGTGTCTCCCTTTGCCTAAATACTGTCATGGTCCAACTCTACTTGCCTTTCCCCAAAATCATTAAATCTTCAGTTAGGTGAGAAAAAATGCACATGCATCATCTGTTTGGTGAGCTGCTAATGGCAGTGACAACAACATTTTGCCCCATAGACTAATGGTTAGGGCCAAGAAGTAGAGAAACCTGGCTCCCAGTTCCACCCAGAGCCTCAGGAGGTTTTGAACTCTCATCTCCTGCTTCCCAGGAGAGAACCTTAATTGCCAGGGCTGTGGACCAGACAAGATTGAGAGCGCTTTTCCTTCCTCCTGTTGAATCTGGGCTGTTGCACAATCAAAAGTGAAAGACTTATGGGACTAGAGAAAAAGCAAACAAGACAGAGTCTGACACTTTTTCCTTTAGATGACCACTGTCAGGAAGTTTTTCATTGTTTATACATTGAGTAGTCATTGGGCATAGAGCATCCCCACAGCCTACTGACTGAGAACCACCATTCTACTGGGACAGATATTGATTAACTTCTCATTCAGGTGGTTCCGCACTGCATTATCTTTGGATAATGAATTTTTTCAGTGCTTCCACTGACTTAAATGATATGCTTAGTATCACTGTGTGTATCTAACATGAAATTAATGCAACTCAAACTTTGGCATATATCACATCAGAGTTTATTGCTCCCAGGTACAGCATCTTCATGTGTGCCCAGGACCGTAGCATATTGAGCCAAGCTGGAGCAGCCCCAGCTGGCAGGGGGCCCAGGAGATAAACCTACCAACCTAGGTTTGCTTCGACCTGGCTCAA